TTGTCATTTTGATTTGCATCTCTCGGATGATTAGTGACTTTGAGCGTGTTTTCATATGTCTCTTGGCCTTCGAAAAAATGAAACTAGACCACCAACATACACCATACACAAAAATAAACTCAATAAGGATAAAGGACTTAAACATACGACGGGAACGCATATAATTATTAGAGGAATCCACAGGCAGCAAATCTCAGACATATGCCGAAGCAATATCTTCACCGATACAGCTCCTAGGCCAGTGGTGGCGAACCTTTTGAGCTCGGCGTGTCAGCATTTTGAAAAACCCTAACTTAACTCTGGTGTCGTGTCACATATAGAAATTTTTTGATATTTGCAACCATAGTAAAACAAAGACTTATATTTTTGATATTTATTTTATATATTTAAATGCCATTTAACAAAGAAAAATCAACCAAAAAAGTTCGCGTGTCACCTCTGACACGGGTGTCATAGGTTCGCCATCACTGTCCTAGGGCAATGGAAACTAAAGAGAAAATAAACAAATGGGACTACATCTCATTGATTTTTAAAGAGAGTGGAAGGGAGGGGGAGAGGAGACAGAGAGAGAGAGAGAAACATCGATGTGAGGGAGACACATCGATTGATTGGTTGCCTCTTGCACACACCTGACCAGGGCAGGGGATCAAGCCTGCACCTGAGGCACATGCCTTTGACCAGAATTGAACCTGGGACCCTTCAGTCCACGGGCCGACGCTCTACCCACTGAACCACACCGGCTAGGGTGTAAGTTAGACCATCTCCCTTCCCACCATGATTGAGAGAGGCACCATTGGGGTTAAGGCGCGTGCAAGAGGCAACCAATCGATGTGTTTCTCTCACATCGATATTTCTCTCTCTGTGTTTCTCCCTCTCCCACTCTCTCTAAAAAATCAATGGAAAAATATCCTCAGGTGAGGATTAAAAACCACACACACACACACACACACACACACACCCCAAAACAAAAAACAAAATAGCTCCTTTAATTGGCTCTCAACGTCGTTTCTCAGCGATGGACTCATCCCCTGGAGACACGGTGTGCTAGCCCAGCTCATAAAACCTGTTTTTCCTGACCACGTTCCAGGGTGCCACTCTGGGTCCTTGCATAAAGCCGTCCTGGTAGGTTTGATGGGGCCAGGCGACAGCACATACCCACCCAGGTCTTGGCCCTCCACGCCTCCTGGACAGGTGTGGCCTAATCCCACTGGCAGGTTTTCTTCCCATCTTAAAACCCTTCTGCTGCTGGGAACGGACAGACTCCAAAGTGGCCATTTGGCAGGTCCCGGCAGGGGTTACAGGCTTATAGGCGTTACGCAAACGCTTGCCCTGGGCTCTGCGGAACTTACCATTCAAATCGCATTTTTTATTTTTTTTAACAATATTTTTATGATTTCAGAGATGAAGGGAGGAGGAGGAGAGAGAGAGATGAAAACATCAACGATGAGACAGAATCATGGATGGGCTGCCTCCTGCACGCCCCCTACTGGGGATGGAGCCCGCAACCCGGGCATGTGCCCTGACCTGGAATCGGACCGTGACCTCCTGGTTCCTGGTTTGTCGCTCAACCACTGAGCCACACCGGCCGGGGCTAAAATCCTATTTCCTATTCCAAGAAGCCTCTGTGTGAGCATGGATCCTTGCCAAGTGCACCTGTCGCCCCTTCTCCAAAGTGTGTGAACTTGCAGAAATCCATTGGATGTGGCGGGTCTTTTAATTTTTGTGATAAAGCTTTGTTACTGGGGGGAGGGGGGGCATGGGGAGAGACCCACGGAGGCGCGAGCTCCGTGAAGAATTAAGGCTGGCATCAAATGGGAAGGCACGCAAGTTCATCCAGAACATGGAACGCTATGCAAATCTGAGCTCCCGTGCACGTAAATCACTGTGATGAGCAGCGGTTCTCAACCTGTGGGTCGAGACCCCTTTGGCGGTCGAACGACCCTTTCACAGAGGTCGCCTAAGACCATCCTGCATATCAGATATTTACATGACGATTCATCACAGTAGCAACATGACAGTTAGGAAGTAGCCACGAAAATAATTTTATGGTTGGGTCACCACAACATGAGGAACTGTATTTAAAGGGCCAGAAGGTTGAGAACCACTGGTGATGAGGCTTGGTTCCCACCAGGCAGATCCGATGGTGCCGTTTCTCTCTTCTCCGCGCCTCCTTATTTTCCCGGGTGGATGATGTGCAGTCATGTCACGGGCTTCTCTGGGATTCCTACAGGGAAGGAGGACATGGGGCGCGGATGGGAGGGAAGGGGAAGGACAGACGGAGACCTGCTGGGCTGGTGGTCTGCGCCTGGCCGTGGCTTTGTCCGGTGGCTTCAGGTTCACCCTCCTCGGGCCGGGGTCAGGCTTGCGGCCGTGTGACACAGGGGGCTGGCTTCTTGCTGGCTGTCCTCTGGGGGCCACCCACAGTTCCTGGTCACGTGGCTTTTCCAACGTGGCCACTTCCCTCATCAAGCCATGAGTTTCTGCAGCGTGGAGCCATCTAACGTCATGGAATCGAGAGAGGCACAGCTCATGATTTTTGCCACTTTCTTTCTTTAAAAAAAAAATCTATCTATCTATCTATCTATCATCTATCTATCTATCTATCTATCTATATTTCAGAGAGGAAGGGAGAGGGAGAGAGAGATAAAAACATCAGAGATGCCCTGGGCGGTTTGCCTTATTGGATGGAGTGTTGGCTTGCGGATTGAGGGGTCCCGGGTTTGATTCTGGTCAGGGACACATGCCCAGGGTTGCTGGCTCAGCCCCAAGTGGGGGGCGTGCAGGAGGCAGCAGATTGATAGTTCTCTCTCATCATTGATGTTTCTGACTCTCTCTCCCTCTTCCTTCCTCTCTGAAATCAATAAAAATATATTTTAAAAAAACCCCAATATCAGTGATGAGACAGAATCATTGATTGGCTGCCTCCTGCACACCCCCTACTGGGGATCGAGCCCGCAACCCGGGCATGTGCCCTTGACCGGGAACCGAACCCTGACCTCCTGGTTCATGGGTTGGTGCTGGACCCCTGAGCCACAGCGGCTGGGGCTGGGCTACACATTTGACATGCATGACTCACTTCAGTGAAAACAACCCATTGTGTCAGTTACCGTCCGAGTTTCAGTGACGGGGAACCGGGGGCCAGAGAATTTATGTAACTTGTTGAGAAGTCGTGCCACTAGACCAGGCAGCATGTGGCGGTGAGTGTAAGCTGCTGAGTCCAGAGCCTTTGCCGGTCGCTTCTGTGCGTGGCGTGGCGCCTGCTCCGCCCTGCGGAACCGCGATGAGCCGTGTTCCCGACACGGAGGTCTGAATGAATGGGCTACCAGCTGGAGCGTGGCCTCGCGCTCAGCGCCCCTCCCCAGCGAAGCCGTGCCCCCGTCCGGCCCGGCACCCGCCTCCCGTCGTCCTGGCGCGGTGTCTCCCCAGCCTTCATTGATGCCGGTGGAGTGTCCGGACTGGTGGCCTCGATGGTGGATATTTCTGTTTCTCCCCTCCACCGCCCCGTCCTGGGAAGCCTGACCTTAGCAGCCCTCCGTTCCAGTTTGTCTGTGACCTGATACTTCAGCGCTGGGGCCCAGAAGCCGCAGGCCTGACGGACATCCCACACCTGTCAGCACTCCAGGTCGGGCCCTGAGGGAGGGCGGGGCTGGTCTTGGCCGTCTCTTCAGAACGTTGTCAGGTGTCCATGGCAACAAAGCCCCATGGAGATGCTGAGCGGAGACTTGGCCCTCGTCCTGCGCGGCGCCAAGGATATAGCGACCTTTGAGCTGCCGCTTGCCGACAGGGCTGGGAGGACTGGCGTGTCGCTGGCCCGGGGGTGGGCTCTCCGCTTTCACAGAGGCCACGGGAACCCGGGGTTTTCTGCCAACTACGATGTGCCGGGCACTGTGCTGGGTGTTAGGCACATCGCAGGCTCCTCGGGCCCTTGAAGGACGTAGAGCCCGGTGGTAAAGCTGCTCACATAACCACTGGCTCCCGTGTACGATCATCAGTACTGCGTGGGATTTGGAGACCCGGAAAAGGCAGTAGGGAATCCTGCCCGCGGACAGAGTGATGCTTCGGCTTCCAAAGGCAGACGTGGTTCACTGCGAGATGAAGTCAGTGCAGTGGCCGGCACGCAGTAGGGCAAGCACGGTACCTGGCACACAGTGGGTGCTTATGGGTAATACCTGGTTAGTGTCAGGATCAGCAGCAAGAGCAGTAGCACCCTAGTCACGAAGAAGAGGTGAGTGATATATTTTTGTTAATATGTTTTTAATGATTTCAAAGAGAGGAAGGGAGAGGGAGAGAGAGACAGAAACATCCATGATGAGAGAGAACCATGGATCGGCTGCCTCCCGCACGCCCCCTACTGGGGATCGAGCCCGCAACCCGGGTATGTGCCCTGATTGGGAATCGAACTGTGACCTCCTGGTTCATAGCTCGACGCTCAACCTCTGAGCCACGCCGGCCGGGCAAACATTGCCCTTTTATTTTTTATTTTTTTTATTTTTTATTATTATTTTTTTAAAAATATATTTTATTGATTTTTTACAGAGAGGAAGGGAGAGAGATAGATAGTTAGAAACATCGATGGGAGAG